AAATTGACATCTATGGTAACGAAAATAAGATGAAGATTAATTTATTTAGTCTTTTCGAACTCAAATGTTAATTACTAACAATTAGGAACTCAATCGCAGTTAATAGAAATAATACATAATATATTAAACGAATATAATAAGGGATTATTAGCAAGACCCCCCTCATCTACGAAATGTTGTTAAGGAAAACCCCCATCCCAAAAATAATTAGAGAAAACCCCCTTAGTTAGTATTGTTAGAGTAGGTGACCAACAAGCCAACTTGTGGCTGTGGTCTTCCTCTTTTACCTTGTAATAAAACAATCGTTTTTCGTTCGTAATAATAAAATATTTCATTTGGCATTCTATATCTGTTATCTCATGCAAGCAACATAGATATAGTCCTAACGAGTTACTCTATTACTGTGAGTTGATCTAGTAGAATCGTGAGATAACTCAGCAATGTAATGTAACTGTTAAACCTTGTTCCTAGTCGATGGGTTACGCCAATAATGAGGATACCGGCCTTTCCCTTTTGAGACTAGCACTTAGTGTATGTGTACTGCGTCTCATTAGTCCTCGGTATTGTGACATCGGCATACTTGAGTGGGTGCTCATACTGGATGAGTTCACTGAACTCCCTCGCCCTAGAAATCTATAAGTGGTTCTCATTCATCGAGTAATAGGTTTCTAAGATATAGTTGTACACCATTAGTCCTTAAGACCCAGACATCACCGTGACTTCACTAGAGGACCGATTGTATCGTGACCTGTCCCTGAGTCCCACAGCGGTGTTGGGTTTCGGGCACGCATACGCAGCGGAAAACAAAAATTTAATGCGATTTAAACTACTTTAAAGCACATAAGCACATGCCCGACAAATTTAATCAATTAATTGCGTACCTTTGCGCTTCCAGCGAAATTAAATAACAACATATATGCTAATTAATTTAACCGAATTGAAATCAATTAACATGCTCGCGTTTAAACCAAATAACATGCTTGCAATGATTTAAAACGATTACACATAATCACATAAAATCATACGAAAGCAAACATGAATATATATAACGTTTAAACGAAACAAGAACTTCAAGTTCGTGTGTTTACCTCTTGAAGCGTGAGGTAAAAGCGCTAAGCAAGTCGAGATTGCTACGGAAACCAATCCGTACAATCGGGGCAGCAGCGGTGCAGCGGCAGCGGCGGTGAGACGGCCACGGCGGCGCGTGAAACTCACGCGCGGTCTTTCCGGGGCGGCGCGTGGGGCAGCGTGCGGCTTCGGCTCGTGCGCTGCTCCTCGATTCTTCGATCTTCGGTCTTCCTCCTCTCGGATTTCACCTCGTATACTTCGATCTACTAAACACGTGGCACTAGACACGTAATAATTAGAAAAACGGAAGAAAAAGAGAAGGAAAGAAACTACCGAAACAATCGGCCGATGAACGGCCGATTCCGGTGAAGCTCCGGCGACGGCGCCGGTGACGGCCGCGGGGAGAGGGCGAGAGAGAGAGGGAGAACGGCTGCTAGGGTTAGGGTTTTTCACTTCTCTGTGCAAGACCTATAAATCTTGTATTTATAGTGTCTTGCATAAAACCCTAGCGGGCTTAAGTTGGACCGGGCCCAACAGCTTAAGTTCGCTAGTACTTTTACTTGCTCGTTTCTCTCAATCCAATGACCGAAAAATTGCAACGATTACATTTTCGGAATCATTATAAAGTCCTCGTCATTACGAGTGTCAATTCTCATTTTCAACTTTCTAAAAGTGGAAACCCTAGTTCAGTGCACTTTCTAAATTTGGAAACTTCCCGATTTAGAAAGTCCACTACAACGTTCGCCTATTCTTTTCCTTTTCTTATTCTCATTCATAATTCCAAATTACGAATGTTGGATCCAATCATATTGAATTCCAATCATGCAAAGATAAACTATTTTACCTTTGACCGTTTATTCAAAGATCTCATGTGCACGAGCAGTGTGACCCTCGATGGTTCAGGTGTAAGCTAGCCGTGGGCCCACTACCCTTTGTGGTCAAAACTCGTCCCTTAGAGTTACGATTAAGATGAAGCTCGTTTCACCTTAATCACCCAACGAATCAAGATTGGCGTCTAGCAACTACGCGTCATGATTCCCTAGATACAAATGAAGTGCCTGCAAGAACCTTCAGATATAGTTAACGTACAGTACGGTCCCTTCGATTCATATGTCCCGATCGAACTAGAGGCATTGGTTCATCGAGACCTCTTTATATGTTCAATGATGGTGCGATCGTTCTAAGTATTGTAATCGTCACGTGCATGACTTAGAGAATCGAATCCTCTAATCATCACTTAGTCAGCTCTGGCCAGAGACTTAGAATGATTACTAACTATCAGAACACACAGGACATCCAAGACTATTCTAGCGATCGAATCCCCGACTACAATGCACAGACCTCCCACTAGATTTCGGACTGCACGAACACTGGCCCTTGGGATGGTCCTCGGTGGAACTCAGGGACAGGTCACGATACAGCTGGTCCTCTAGTGAAGTCACGGTGATGTCTAGGTCATAAGGACTAATGGTGTACAACTATACCATAGATATCTCTACTCGATTATTGGGAACCACTTAGAGATTTCTAGGGTGAGGGAGTTCAGTGAACTCGTCAACTTACGAGCACCCACTTATGCATGCCGATATCACAATGCCGTTTACTGATGAGATGCAGTACACATACACTAAGTGCTAGTCTTAATGGGAAAGGCCGATATCCTCATTAGTGGCGTATAATACTTA